GTATTTTGGAAAAGAAATAGTTAAGAAATAAATAATACTTTGCCTTAAATTTGATATTTCATCATAAAGAAATAATTTAGAATTTTTTTCCCATTTCAGGGTATTATAATTTCAGTCAAAAGCTTATAAAACAATGAAAAAATCATTTCCGACCCTATATTTTATATATATTCTTGATCAGAATCAAAATTTGAATCGATCTTGCCATGTCCGGTAAAAATAAAATTTCGAAAAAATTTGGAAATTTTCAAAATTTTTTAAGGGATTAGTCACATCGTTAAAATGGCCAAAAATTGTAGTTCTCTTAAATATTAAATATAGTATGCAGATTTGTTAACCTAATAAAAACTAGCTCTAAACAATTTTTCTAATTAAAATGAATCCATTTTTGGCTGAGTTATTTGATTTTGAAATTTCAGGTTCGTCGTAAAAATTGTCATATAAAAATATTGGTAGATATATGTTAATAATATTATTAATTGATATTTTATCAACTTCCTTTCCTAGTACTTATTTTTATTTAATTCCCATGTTGCTTAGTGTAACCAGCAGCAACAAAACAATGGCAAAGCCAAAAGTGGCAGCGACAGTGGCCAACGTGGCGTATGAGTAATTCGACTTTGACGCCGAAGCGCCGCGCGTGGTTTTGCCTACAGCCACAGTCAAACTCACTCACACACACACACACACAAACACACACACACTCTCACACCCTCTAGGACACCCGCACACACACACACTATATCGCACATTTGTCTCTGCTGTTAGTGTATGTTTCATGTTTTGCGTTATTGTCGCTTCAAGTAAAAACACAAAATATTTATTTCAAATGAGTTCTGTGTACAACTGGGAACTGCGGAAACTGGTAAACAGACTGCTTTCTCTGTCCAGCCCCCTCCTTCGGCGATGGCCACGCCCCCGTACCGCCCCAAAAAATCCCGGTAGATACCCTTTAGGTTAGGATATGCCTGGTTTTATAGCCAATTTTTATTGATGTTCTATACTTAGTATTTCTTTGGGGTTTATTTCGATTTTTATGGGAGAGAATATTTAGTAAATTTGAGTGGCTTTTGTTTTTTGAGAAAGAAGTTAAGGGATAATAATGAATGGAAGTCTTTAGGGATTTAAGTAAATTTTTTAGGATGTTTAAGTAAGTATTTAAGTAGGTTTAAGTTTGTTTATTTAAAGACAAAGTACATTATTTAATAACATACTTTTTGAACGCTTAACTTTTAGTGTTTAAAATATATTATGTTTACTTTTGTATAGGAAAGTGTTAAATATCCTTGGATTTAGAAGTCTGTAAAGTATATTTTTGAAATTAAAATTTTCATTTCTTAAAAAATAATAACTTAATTAAGTTAATAGTTGTATTGCCTCATTTCTTACATTTCTCTCTGGTCATTCTTTAGAGTTTTAATACTTTCCAGGGTATCCTTTTAGTTCCTACTTCCTTTGGGTACCCCAAAAGTCGTACCCCCCTGATAATGCGGAATAGCCTTGCTTTCTTTCTTATTTTCTTTTTTTTGGGAAATTCTTTTTGTTTTTTTTTCGGTGGGTGGTGAAAGTAACTTTCGGTGGGGTGGGTTCGGTAGCTTCGCTTCGGTGGCTGGCGCCTTTCCATGGCAGGAGTTGGAGGACGAAAGACAGCATTTGCCATAAATTGTGAAAGTGTCAACGAAAGGCAAAAATACACACACACACTCACGAGGGGGAAGGGCAGGATGGAGACACACGCACGCACGCACTGGGGGAAAAACAATGCTAACGACATACAAACAAACAAATCTATACTCATTTCGGCTACTGTACCCTGTGTGTGTGGGGAAGCAACACGCACGCATATTTATTTTGAACACATCTTTTTTTTCGTCCTCGTCCTCGGCCAGCTACAAATGCGTTATATAAATACGCATGGAAATAAATGTGGAAATATATATATATATATATATATATATAGAACCATAGATTGCCCTTACATATCTACGCATATTGTTCTAATCAGTGTTTCTGGCCTTCTTTGGCCTGGCCAGGAATGTCAATTTTTTCGTTGCCTAATTTATTTGGCCAGGGACAATCGAAGAGGGGAGAAGATTCAAGGAAACCACCACCATCACCATCGGGTTCAAGGAGCAGCAAAAAAGGAGGAGGAACTTTTGACACCCAACAGGAGCCGCTTCAGCTGATTATTGTCATGACCGAAAATTCCCTCAGATTTTTTGTTTTTTTGGGGTGAACTTTGCATAAGCCTCTTCGCCTGCCTGCTCCTTGCTCCTTTCGGCTCCTTTCTGGTCCCTGTCCTGGCGCTGACATCTTATGGAAGATGGATAGTTCTGTGGCGTGGTCAGGTACAATCGATGGCCGTTGGCCAGCATATTTATGGTCGACACGTGACCTTGCGCTGACCCCTGACCAGCAAAGTCCAAGTAAAGAGTTTCCCTAAGCCAGCCAGGATTTTGAATCCTTCAGAAAGATGGAAGATGGAGATGTGTGTGCCTGGAAAGCCTTAGCCTGCCCGAAATAATTAATCTCCTTAATTGAATACATGCGATTATGAATCAGCAGCGAGGACAAGCACTTACCACAATTACTGCATTAATTTCCGCCACTTGTCGAGACCGAGACTGGCCCCAAGGCCCGAGGGTTAGGCTTTCCTTTTGGGATTCACTGTGGAATAGGTTTGGTTGGGATTAAGACTTTTCTGGGGGGAGTTCAGCTTATAATTAAGTGAAGTAAAAGCCTCGACTTTGGGAGTACCTTTTTCCTAGTTTCTTAGAATATTTTATATAAAACTTACCCTTGCAAGACATAATAATTCTAGTCAGAAGTGTAAAACGCATCGAAGGAGGCATTTCCGACCGTGTAAACTATATATATTGTTGATCAGAATTAAAAACTGAATCGATCTAGTTAAAAAAAAAGTTTTCAAAATTTTTTCAATTTCTTCAAAAAATGATAAGGGGTTACATTGATAAAATTTTCAAAAATTGGCAAAAAAATTTAAGTTTTTAATTGAGTATGCAACATAATTAACCTACCTAACATAGGAACGTTTTCTGAATTAAAATTAAGGCTTTTTTGGCCGAGGTATGAGTTTTTGAAGCTTTTTTTGTCGAAAAAAATTGTCGTATAAAAATATCTATAAATTTGGATTCAAAGAACACGAATATTTTGAGTTTAGCTATAAACGATTTCCGATTTATTCGTATGATTTAATTCCAAACTTCAAGGGTATATAAACTCAAGGCTTTTCGAAGTTGTTTTCATTTTTTGCTTTAAAATTAATTGGTTTTATCATACAAAATGCAAAAAATGTATATTTTCAGCTCGCTCTTTTCAAAGTCCTTAAACCAGAAACAAGTTTCCCGTTCTCTCCCTTGTCCAAAACACAATATACCCCCCTGATAATGTCCAAGTCCTGGGTACTATATTCATAAGTAGCGTTTGCTTGCTCGTCCAAGAAAGCGGCTAGCATCTGGCCGGGGGCGTTGGTCCAGTGTTCCACTAAATTGGACACATCTGCACAGTTTTTCCCCCCTATTTCCCTTGCTAGCCCCGCGGGAAAAATGCCCCTTCCCCTCTCTCTCTATGTTTTCCCTTTTTTGGCAGCATGTCAATCTTGCGAGTCAAATGGAGGCACGCATGGCAAAATTTTCCAGGGCTATATTCAAACTCCAGCTACAGCTCCAGCTCCATCTCTAATACTGACTGCGGTGCTGCGGGAAATCCCCGCACGTTTCCGCATTTCCACATTTCCACAATTCCACATTTCTATCCGTACAATTGCCAGAGTCTGGCGCATTTGCATTTGGCTCCGCATCTCCGTCATACACAATTTGTATGCTTAAGTAAGCCCACTGCGTGCATGTTTCTAATGGGCGGCACAAAAGGTTAGGTTACCTGATGCTGAACACGGAAAAAAAAGCACGCTGGAAAAGCGGCTTTCCCTCCCTGGCCCAGAACGCCGCTGAAAACTCATTTCGCCTCGGGCGTGACTTTTATAGCACTTTGTTTCCGAGTAGAACGGCAGAGCACAGCCCAGTACAGCCGGAGAGAAAACCAGAACCCGAACTTGCTCGCAAAAAAAAAGGAAACCCAAAATAACGAAAAACGAAAATAACATAGAAAACAGAAACACCAAAAAATAAAGGTAAAAACTTTGGAAAACCCAAAGGTTGGAATACCCTTGCCAGTCAGCCGATTTTTGTTATGACAGCCAAGAGTTGGGTTTGATGTAGAGAAATGTAATTGTTTAAATTAAATAATAACTGGTTTTCAAGCGCCATTTTGCCTAATTGAAAATATGTCCAGAGACTTAAAGAAATGTATTATTTATATATATTATTAGAAAATATTTTTACTTAACTGTTTTATTTTATGTATATATATAAATAGGGACTCCACTCTGTATTATAGCTTTTTTTATAAAAGACAAGAGCAGCAGATGGCTTATATAGTCTACATATTTACCGTGTGCAAACTTTGCCCCATTTATATAAAAAATTTTATTTAAATATTTCTGTATCTTACTTACTTAATACTTACAACAAGAAGTCTATACAAGTTACTTAATTATTACCAAAGATTCAATTAAGATAAAGAAAAGGTACCACATAGAATTTTAAGCAAACTTTCAGGCAATTATAGTTCCCTAATCAAATCATAATCTTTAATGATATTCAAGCAATGCTCTATTGTTGAGACTCCATAAAAAAAAGGATACTCAGCTTTTGATAAATTGTGAGAACGAAACCAAAAAACTTTTCATTCACACACTTTTTCATTGAATTATAAAAACAGAGATGGAAAAAGTCAAACAAACTCTCAAATAAAATGATGAACTCGAGCAATTAACCTCTGTCAGGGTATACAAATGCGAAAATCGTTCTGAAACAAATGGATTTTGCGAGAGCCACAAACGCAAAACGCATTGAAAACTTTTGCCTGTTCTCTGGTAAATTCCAAAAATGCCATACACACACATTTGTGTGTATGGTGTTATGGCTGATGTTGTTGCCGAACTTATCAACACGCCGATCACTTGCGACAGTTTCCGCTCTGCCTCAGATACTCGACAGGACCTAATTGCCCCGCACCCAGTAACAGCTACAATTCCATTCCCATTCCCATTCCCATAGACATTCCCTTAACGAACCCTCCCAACCCAAACCCCATTCAAGGTGAGCAATGTAAAAACTTCCTGTGCACTCATTTAGTCCTGCTGAGCTCTTGTTGCCGTTGTTGTCCTTATGTAAGCAACAGCAGCAGCAGCAGCAGCGACAGCAGCAGCAGCAACAGCGACATCAGCAACACTACGTAGCAGCAGCAACACCGGAGCAACACGCCCCGAACACCGCACCGAACAATACCCAGAATATAAAACGAAATGAAAGGAAAGCAAGAAGAGAAAAAAAACGGATATAGAAATTCAATACTTTGATTCGTGCCACAAGCAGAGCGAAGGAAGTGCAACCATACAAGGTAACCAAATAGCAGGACAACACGTACTACAGGCACTTGTTGGGAAGTGCCATTTACACTGAGCTTACAGTTTGTTAAATTGTAAACATAACCCTGTAAGTTACAATCCTGACTAGGAAACAAACTTATATTAAACTTACATCTACAAAAAAATGATCCCTTATATCCAACCGATTTCCTTCAACATTTCCCTCAGTGTAGGGCGGTTCGGGGTGTGCTTTGTGCTGTGTAACAGCAAGATTTCCAAACTGCATTGCACTGGAACTTTTTCGGGCAACATTGCTGCATTATACTTAGTGGTTTCCACTTGATTGATGCCATCTGTTCGCTACCCAGCCAAAAAAAATATATATTTACTCTACTGGGAACCAGCGAAGGGAAAGTTCCCGCTGCCGCCCAACTCCCAACTATAGAGAACTAACGATCGACAGGAATACATTTGTAATTGCCGAGCAAAGTTACGTAGGAGTTACTTACGTACTAATAACAACAGCACGCAATGTCCTGTGTCCTGTTATTGTTCCGTTACCGTTGGCCTTTTGGCGTGGGAAAGTCCTGCGGACCTACCGTTGGCTAATTACTGATATATAGATATCCGGCGAGAGTGTAACTATTAACAATCGGCCCAGGCACTCGCATCCGGTTTTAAGAAGGGGACAGGGACAGGGGCAAGGACTTTCTGGGAAAGCTCTCTTCTCCTCCATTCACATGTCTGCCAATTATAAGCAACTAAACCGCAGATAAGAGCGGATGCTGAGGCCATATATCCCTGGCCCGCAACCAGACTAACCCCAACATACCCCAGCCTCGTTCACAGCCTTCGCCTCCGCCTCCACTGCATCCTCATCCTCATCCTCATCCTCCCAGGGATGTGCTGTCAAAGCGACGTGACTAAGTGGTGAAAAATGATTTCGTGGCTACGTGTGACTCTACTACTACTCTCTCTCTGGCCGGGAATGAGCGGGCGTTAAGCGTTCACGGCTTCCTCCGTGGGCTCTACTCTGGAGAAATGCCGGAGCTTCAGAGCTCTTTGGAGAACAACTGGTGAGCTTGGGGAACCGGAGAAGCCACAGCCATCGAGAGGGTCACTTGACGAGATACCTCCAGGGGGGATGGGATGGGATGGGATGCTACTGAAAATAATGGGGGAATGTGCTGAAGGGTATGGGAGCTGGGAACTGAGTGCATGTGCTGGAAGTGTTGTGCAATCGTCAAAGGATCAACGATGAGTATGGTCGATTCGTGAGGGAAATTTATCAAGGCTTCACGGGGGAAACTTCGGTTTTTTTCACAGGGGGGAAATGAGATTCAAGGAGGAGGAATAGTTTAACCCTCGAATATGGACATTACCTAGATGCAGGATAAGAAAAGAAAAGCCTATTGACAGGAACACTGGTTCTCAGAAACCATGAGACAATTGAAACCATAATACAAGGATCTGTGAAATTATCCCATGTATAAGTTAACAAGTCTTCAGTAAAGGATACACATTCTCATACCCAAATTAGTATATAGTTTCCCCTATTCTAAGCATAAACTAGACACTATTACTTTTTCCGTGTTTATTTCAGCGTTCTTTCACCTCAAGGATTCTATCACTCACAGTATTTTCCATTTTAAGCCAAGACGGAAGGATTCTCTTGCATATCTGTCGCCAATCCACAGAAGGCTTCCTTTATCCTGGCCAAGGAAATACCTCTGGTGTCCTCCTTGCATTCTTCGTCCTTCTGCTGCCGCGTGTCACGCTGTCTTCGCTGGTGTCTTGCTCCCTTTACTACATTCTCGTTTCATCTCCTTTCGCACCTCCATCTGCATCAGCACCTTCTTCTCCTTCTCCATCTGCTGCTCCTTCTCTATGTCCTGCATCCTTTCGCAGCATCCTTCTACTGGCAGTCTGGCGTCGTTGTCTTGCTGCCAAGTAGCACTCAAAGTGAGTTTGCGACGCATTGCCGCATTGTCGCTACTTCATCAGCAGGAGCTGCTTCTGCTGCTGCTGCTGCTGCTGAATCTCCTGCGAAAGCTATGGCTACAGCATCAAGTGCAAGTATCCATGTCCTGGCTGCACTTGTGCAGCATCTCCTCTCCCCCAACGTCATCGCCACCAGCCACCCCTTTTCCTACACAGAATGTTGCCAGTTGGCAACTGAGCGTCCGCAGGAAATGAATACGTGTTGAATATTTGTCGAGTTGAAGCACAAGGACATGTAGGATAACATAAAGGATGGGCTTGCCACATCACTCTCACTCCCCCTTCGCCCACTAGCACCCCGTAAGCAACATCAACATCTACATACAAGGCAAACAAGCATATCCTCGCAAGGATACATCTGCGGTCAAGATAATGGCTTTAAGAAAGGTTCTGCATAAAGGCAAATATTGGTAAAGTAATTTTAAAAGTAATTCTATGAGAAATTTGGGTTAAGGATTTTATTTAAAAATTTAAAAAACAAAAGAGACTTGGATAAGAGAATGATGAAACTAAGAAGGACATGAACTTCTTACTCATATGCTTCTAGGACTTTTCTGAGATTGTAGCTTTAGTGCTAGGAACTGAACAATTTCAAAGATTCATCTCTATTTTTGCGACTGTAATTGTATGCCAATGTGACACGGAGTGTATCCATCTACGTGGATGAGCTCCATGTGTCGCTTAGCCTTGCTGGCCGGGCTAATGCGCAAACCAAATATGATATACTATGCAGGAATGTATATGCTGCGGATATATGTGCGGCGGAGCATCTGTCGCAGATTTGCAAGCGTTTCACAAATGGCAACAACAACAACATCAATAGGACGAAACAGCAACAGCAGCGGCATCAGCATCCCATCAGCAACAAGCTGCAAGGACCAAGAACCAAGGACCAAAAACGCCAGCTGCTGCAAATGGCACGCATGAAAATGAAAGGCCCATCGAATGGGCGCGTTCATTGAGAATTTATTTCAATAAGAGAAAAGGGAAACTAGAGAGAGAGACGGAGACAGCAGGAGAAATCATAGAGGGGGGAAAAAGGATCTGTGCAGAGGCAGCACTAAAGGCCATCGGAAACTATAATCACGTATGTGCATATGGCCAAAGGCAACACGAGCCTGGATGCCAGGATGCTCGTATCAGCGCTAAGTGCTCTTGTTGCATGCTGCACAAGTAATTAAGATTAGTGACTCAATATGCACACAAACACAAATGTTAATGTGTGTATATATACGTATATGTCTAAGGACACGATTCCTCAGACAAACAACTTAACTTGTTTCTTTGCCATCATGCTTGCTTTGTTTTAGCTGCACTTGGCAAAAACTAGACAGGATATTATGGACTGAAACTTATTGCATCTGAAGGATAATATATCAAAAGGACATATTGTATAAGAATATTAGTAAGTATTCAAAAAGAACCTTTAGTTCGATAGAAATAAAGGTGCTACTAAGTAGGTGCAAATATTTAGCTTCTTTAAAATATGTGGAATTTCTTTATAAATGCAGTCTAAGAAAGGGAACAGCTCTTATTCCATCCCGCAGGATATTTACAGTGCACTGAAGTACTTGGCTTTAATTTCTATCTTCTCTAAGTAATGTGTATCCTTCACAGGGCTTCCCTTGCACTTGGAATTACCAATTTACACAACACAGATTTGCCGAAAGCAGCTTCCTTTGTCTGAGCCAAAACCAAAGCCAGAGAATGAGAGTGTTGCCTGTGTGTAATTCCCACAAATTGAAGAATCAACTCGGTTCCCTGATTGATGCCAAACCCTCCGCAGTTTTGACTTCTCAGGGGGTTTAATTGAATCAACTGCTGCTGCTGATTTTCCTGCTGACGAAAAATAAAAAGGAAATGCATCATCAGGCCGAAATATTCAAAGTATTCCTTATATTCCCTCTATATTCCCGAACGGCTGTCTGCCTGCCTGAAAGCCATTAGTTTATGGATGGCAAACAAAACAAATGCCGGAGGGCGCTAACCTAAGCCCAAAACCCAGGACTCTGATCCCTATCCCATCCCCCCCATACCTATTCCTAGACCTTATCCCAGTCCCGAAATTGAAATTCAAGATCTGGGCGCTGCAGAAACCAGAACCTAGGAGCCAGGACCTTGAATCCATGGAACCGTCAAGCAGAGCAGCGGGGTCAGGAATCAGGAATCAGCTGCTGCTGCTGTTGCATCGGAAAATGCAAAGGAAAATGAGAAACGGAATAATGCCAATGTGGACAGCTGTCGGAAAATTGTTGAAAGGCGAGTGAAAAGCGGTCGAGTCTCTGTCTCTCTTTCACTATGGGGTTCATAGAGCAGCCTTGGGCTGCTTTTTTACAGGGGTTTTTTCGTCCTGGCATCACCAATCATCATTATCATACTCGATGCAGTTTCAGGCACTGCAAGAAATATATAGGAAGTTAGATTTATTAACCTAATAAAAATTAACACAGAACAGTTTTCCGAATTGACATTAATGCTTTTTTGGCTTAGTTATGATTGATTGATTTCTACCTGTGATCCTTCATTTCTTGTTATCCTTAAAACACTTCTGAAGATGGGGCTTGCAACTATTTCAAATATAAATATATACTTTTCCCCATATTTTCTCTAATGTTTATCTCCAAAAATCTATAGTTTTCAGTGTATTTGTTTATGTAGATCATCGACTGATGTCCCGTCTGCAGATCGCTGGGCGAGTCCTTGTCCTCTTTATTTTATTTTTTTTTGTTTTGTCTGTTTTTTTTTCTTTTCGCCTTCCCAGGTAGA